TTTACTCCATCACACAGACGATGTTTACTCCATCAGAGACCATGTTTACTCCATCAGAGACCATGTTTACTCCATCAGAGACCATGTTTACTCCATCACACAGACGATGTTTACTCCATCAGAGAGGATGTTTACTCCATCAGAGACGATGTTTACTCCATCACACAGACGATGTTTACTCCATCACACAGACGATGTTTACTCCATCACACAGACGATGTTTACTCCATCAGAGACGATGTTTACTCCATCAGAGACGATGTTTACTCCATCACACAGACGATGTTTACTCCATCAGAGACCATGTTTACTCCATCACACAGACGATGTTTACTCCATCACACAGACGATGTTTACTCCATCAGAGACGATGTTTACTCCATCACACAGACGATGTTTACTCCATCAGAGACCATGTTTACTCCATCACACAGACGATGTTTACTCCATCAGAGACCATGTTTACTCCATCAGAGACCATGTTTACTCCATCAGAGACCATGTTTACTCCATCACACAGACGATGTTTACTCCATCAGAGACATGTTTACTCCATCAGAGACCATGTTTACTCCATCACAGACGATGTTTACTCCATCACACAGACGATGTTTACTCCATCAGAGACGATGTTTACTCCATCACACAGACGATGTTTACTCCATCAGAGACGATGTTTACTCCATCACACAGACGATGTTTACTCCATCAGAGACCATGTTTACTCCATCACACAGACGATGTTTACTCCATCAGAGACATGTTTACTCCATCACACAGACGATGTTTACTCCATCACACAGACGATGTTTACTCCATCAGAGACGATGTTTACTCCATCACACAGACGATGTTTACTCCATCAGAGACGATGTTTACTCCATCACACAGAGACGATGTTTACTCCATCAGAGACGATGTTTACTCCATCACACAGACGATGTTTACTCCATCACACAGAGACGATGTTTACTCCATCAGAGACCATGTTTACTCCATCACACAGACGATGTTTACTCCATCACACAGACGATGTTTACTCCATCAGAGACGATGTTTACTCCATCACACAGACGATGTTTACTCCATCACACAGAGACGATGTTTACTCCATCAGAGACGATGTTTACTCCATCACACAGACGATGTTTACTCCATCACACAGAGACGATGTTTACTCCATCACAGACGATGTTTACTCCATCACAGACGATGTTTACTCCATCAGAGACGATGTTTACTCCATCACACAGACGATGTTTACTCCATCACACAGACGATGTTTACTCCATCAGAGACGATGTTTACTCCATCAGACAGACGATGTTTACTCCATCACACAGAGACGATGTTTACTCCATCAGAGACGATGTTTACTCCATCACACAGAGACGATGTTTACTCCATCAGAGACGATGTTTACTCCATCAGAGACGATGTTTACTCCATCACACAGACGATGTTTACTCCATCACACAGACGATGTTTACTCCATCAGAGACGATGTTTACTCCATCAGACAGACGATGTTTACTCCATCAGAGACCATGTTTACTCCATCAGAGACGATGTTTACTCCATCAGAGACCATGTTTACTCCATCAGAGACCATGTTTACTCCATCACACAGACAATGTTTACTCCATCACACAGACGATGTTTACTCCATCAGAGACGATGTTTACTCCATCAGAGACCATGTTTACTCCATCACACAGACGATGTTTACTCCATCAGAGACGATGTTTACTCCATCAGAGACCATGTTTACTCCATCACACAGACGATGTTTACTCCATCAGAGACCATGTTTACTCCATCACACAGACGATGTTTACTCCATCACACAGACGATGTTTACTCCATCAGAGACGATGTTTACTCCATCAGAGACCATGTTTACTCCATCAGAGACGATGTTTACTCCATCAGAGACCATGTTTACTCCATCACACAGACGATGTTTACTCCATCAGACAGACGATGTTTACTCCATCAGAGACCATGTTTACTCCATCACACAGACGATGTTTACTCCATCAGAGACCATGTTTACTCCATCACACAGACGATGTTTACTCCATCAGAGACCATGTTTACTCCATCAGAGACCATGTTTACTCCATCAGAGACCATGTTTACTCCATCACACAGACGATGTTTACTCCATCACACAGACGATGTTTACTCCATCAGAGACGATGTTTACTCCATCACACAGACGATGTTTACTCCATCACACAGAGACGATGTTTACTCCATCAGAGACGATGTTTACTCCATCACACACAGACGATGTTTACTCCATCAGAGACCATGTTTACTCCATCAGAGACCATGTTTACTCCATCAGAGACCATGTTTACTCCATCACACAGACGATGTTTACTCCATCAGAGACCATGTTTACTCCATCACACAGACGATGTTTACTCCATCACACAGACGATGTTTACTCCATCAGAGACGATGTTTACTCCATCACACAGACGATGTTTACTCCATCAGAGACCATGTTTACTCCATCACACAGACGATGTTTACTCCATCACACAGACGATGTTTACTCCATCACACAGACGATGTTTACTCCATCACACAGACATGTTTACTCCATCACACAGACGATGTTTACTCCATCACACAGACGATGTTTACTCCATCACACAGACCATGTTTACTCCATCACACAGACGATGTTTACTCCATCAGAGACCATGTTTACTCCATCACACAGAC